TGTGTGTGTGTGTGTGTGTGTGTGTGTGTGTGTGTAGTAACGGAATTGAGATTATAGATTAATGTCCAGTAGCAGTCCATGCCTGCAAGAGTTGCTGAAATATGGGGGAAATGGTTCTTATAAGGGAATTTGATTTCACGACTTTAGGTCTTTTGGGCACTGAATTCGTGCATGTAGTGCAATCAGTGATTTTGTTCTTAACTTTAAAAGACAGACAGCACTCGTTTATTGAATCTTTTATTCCACAGAGACGCTAAAACGTTCTCCGTGGATGAGATCGGTGTGTTTGTCTCAGTGGCAGCAATATGCCTACAGCATGATCCCTTAGACCCTCACACAGGAGGCTTTGCTTCAACGCACTATCTCATCTTCAATAAAATCATGGGCAATATCAGTGGATGGGTAGGTAAACTAACATAACTAACATCTGTCACTATGTCGATGTGATCTACGAAAAAAAGAAGGATTTTGTATAGTATAATATGTGACAGACGCCAACTAGTATCTGAGGTGTAAGGTTAGGCTCTTTTCCATCACACGCAGAAGACCCGAGTTTCAACTCCAGTGAGGGGAAAGTATCTTCGTCTGTTTCCTGGGACATTGTGTCCTTCTCAGCCCGAGTTGGTCCTGAGAGGCAGGGTCGAAGCAGCCCGCCTACTTAATGATTTTCATTGTATCAATAGAGGCGAAAAACATCTGCAAGTGCAATAACCAGATGCCAGTTTCAACACGATGAGGTCCTCTATCAGAATCAAGCAGAATCTCCCATTTCCTCCTGTTTGTGATAGGCCTGTGTCAAGTGAAAAGAGAGCTGTCGAGATTCCCATAAAACAGAAGAGGGATCCGACCCGTGATTCAGCATTCCGCAAACGGAGCAAAAAGGATGGCCATAGGGACCTAAAGAATACTCATTACACACTAAATTACAGGGAACAATAAATAGAGCCATTTTCGTAAACGAAACCGCAGAGTGAAGCTCAAAAGCACAATGTATTAAAATATTTAACAGAACGTGGTACGGGTGGTTGGTATTTCCTTTGACTTTTTCTTTACGTGCTCTTTGTTTGAAGTAGACGACTTAAGTGTCGTGTCTATAATAAGCTTCTCTTTACTCATACTAGATCTATATTAAAAACGAAAATTAAATCAAAGTATAATCCCGTGGCTACTGTAGTGTAATTAGCGCTTAGTCCCATGCTGACTGTTGTTTAGTTTTAATCTTAGTAAGAGTTTTGCGCATTTGCAACACAATAAGGTCATGTAAGTGCCAATTCGAAGATTAGAAGTGTTACAAGAGAGTAACAAACACACAGCAGAAGGAGGAGAGATCAGTGCGATAAATGTTTGATAGGAAAAAAAGAGCAAACCGCACGGGCGCTCCCGTCAACCACCGGCTGACTCTTGTTCGGGAGAGTCAAAATTTTGATTATATGACTAAAAACCTTGCCAAAATTGACCTAGATTTAGGAAGACACTCAGATCTTACTTGACGTAAACATGAGGAAAGACGTTCAACTTTATACAACAGTTACACTCCACCCCAACATCCCGTAAAAGGGCGCTTCCAGAAATTGCTAACACGAACGGAGCAGAAAACTAATTATAAATTGAATTATATTTTTAAAATTAAAGACAAATACTCTCCCTGTCGCACTCTCTCTTTCTC